CGCGCGATCGACGCGGCGAGGGGGAACGCGAGTACCTCCTGCGGCCGCCTCCGCCGCGGCCCGGGCTCATCGATCGACGGTCGCGGCGCGGGGGGCTGGCACGGCGACGCCAGTCGTTGGCCGAGTCGGGTCCGCGCGCGGGGGCACGGTAAGAGTCGCCGCCGCGGTAGGGGGGCGGTCCACGCATGTCACGCGGGTCGCGGGCGTAGTAGCTGTCTCCACCTCGGCGGTACGAGCTGCCGCCACCGCCGCCGTAGCGAGAGTAGCTGTCGCCACCGCGGCCGTCGTAGCGGTCGTCGAGCCTGGGCTCGCCCTTGTAGACACCCGGGGTCGGGTCGTGCGGCCTCTTGGTGGTGGAGAAATCGACACGAATGCGTCGGCCGTGAAGGTCGATGCCGTTGAGGGCCTCGATGGCGGCAGCAGCGCCGTCCGAATCCTTCATGGTGATGAAGCCGAAGCCTCGGGAGCGGCCAGACCTGGCGTCGTAGACGACGACGACCTTCTCGACCGGGGCGATGCGGCCGAACTCGTGCATGAGGTCGGCCTCGACGGTGCGGATGCTCAGCCCAAAGACACCGACGACGTTGGAAGGGTCGACGTGCTCGGGGGCGCCACGAGGCTTGGGCGGGGGGACACGGACGGGAGAACGCTCCCTGTTGAGGCAGGGCAAGGCAGGAATGTGGAGGAGCGCAAAGACTGGCGGTCAGCACTTGCGGAGTCACCCAAGCTTTTGAAGAGAGGATAGAGCCGGATCCTTACCTCTGGTACCTGCTGGGCCTCTCGCGAGAGCGGTCGCGCTCACGGCGGCCATCGCGCTCACGCTCGCGGTCGCGAGAGCGGTCGCGGCCATCGCGGCGCGGGCTGGGAGAGCGCGAGAGGTCGCGGTAACGTGCAGGGGCGGGGCTGCGGCTGCGCGAGAGCGGGCGCCTATCGGCACGGGGAGTGGCGGAGCGGGAGCGAGTGCGGGAGCGAGATCGCGAGCGCGAGAGCGACCTTCCGCGAGAGGGCTGCCTGTCGGCGTCAATGTCAGAGTAGTCCTGAGGGAAAGGGAAGGCAGGCAGGCAGGGGGCAAGATGGGAGGGAGGGGCCGTGCGGTAGGAAGCAGTGGAGGGTCAGTGCGACCGCACGGGCAGGGCGCAGAGGCTGGGTCCTGACGCCGCCCTGAGGCAAACGTCTGGCGTGACATAAGGGGACTCACCATTTCTACAACAGTCCGTGTGGGTGCGAGCGCGAGCTCAGTACAGGTGCAGTGGGTCGTAGAAGAGGATCAGGATGAGGGGGTGGTGTCGATGAGCGAGACAGGGGTTGACGAGAAGGTGGATGCGCGCAGGGAAGGTGCAGGGCTTGTGCGACGCACAGGTCCAGTCAAGGGCCCCCGCCCCGCCTCAGCTCCCTGGCGCGCACGAGCTCGATCCACCCCGCAGCTCCGATCACCGCTCGGTCATTTTCGAGCCGAGATCCGAAGCTCATCATCGGGGACGGCTCTTTGAAATCGGGAGGTGCAGAGGTTTTGACCGGCTCCGAAACTAGCAGCTCACGTGCGCTCCTTTGACCCCAGATTGGACCTTCGGCCGAGGCAGCCCTCAGACGAAAATTCGAAAATTGGCCGGGTCCGCGCAGGCCCAGCGGCCAGCGCTGACCCAGCCTACTGGGCGAGCTCAACTGGCAGCCCAGCTGGAGGAAAGGCCGTTGAGCCGCCAGCCCGCCAGCCGGGCCTGGCAAGCAGGGCCGAGCAGCAGCGCCAGGTCAGCCGCCGCCGCCGTTCAGACGATGAGCGGAAGCGTGAACCCAGGTCAGCTCGCCATCACCGCCCTTCTCGCGACACTCCACACCTCTGTCAACACCTCAAGAAGCAACAATGGTGGGTAGCACCGACGCCGCATCGCGCACCGGCACCCGACGACGACCCACGGCCATCGACGACGACGACGTAGGAGCAGCAGCAGCAGCAGCGGCGTCACCACGGCAGCAGCAGATATCGGCACCCGACAATCGTGACGACGACGACGACGACGACAGCAGCAGGACCGACAGACCCAGCCTCTGTTTGCGACACATCCTCCCCTCTACCTTATTCCTCCCATCTTGCGACCCTACCGACATGACGACAAGGGCTTCCATGCTCCATCTCTCACCTGGCGCACACTGGGAGGACGGGCTGGATCCGCTTTTGGAGGAATCAGCCATGGTCAATGCGGCCGTAGGAGGCGGCGCTCGAACAGGAGAGCATATCCGATCCTGAGCAGGGACGGCCGAGGATACGTCTGGCCAGACTGAAAGATCCGAACGCCCGGCAGATGATAGCATCAGCCGCCAAGGCCTCTTCCGACTGAGGCTCCACCTCTCGACACTGCTGCACCGACCGCTATGCTGCTGCTCCTTCCGTCACGGCTGGTCGTCTCGGGTGCCCGGAATACACGACCGACCTGCTCCTCTTGCGGAGACAGGAGACCGAGCGACAGATTCTGATGACGGCCTGCGGGTGTTTCATCGCTCTTTGCGCCTAACAGGGTATCGATATCAAGAAGCACCACGTCAGGAACGGACGCCGCACGGCGCCCAAGAGCGAGGACCCTTACCTCCTCCTCCTCGTCAAGGTGAGAATTGCACAGGGGCATCGAAGGGGTATTGAGGAATCCGGTAGAGGAAGAGGCTGGCAGGTGGATAGAGGCCGAGGGCAGGAGGCACCCGCTCGCTCTCGCTGCAAGACACGAGGCGCTTGCTGATGGACGGGTGCCGAGCGAGCTGGCCCTCGTGTTCAGAACGGGGCAAGGAGGGAGCGTCAGATCAGTACGGGGGAAGAAGGCGGCGTTGGAACGCGCAGGGCATGGGCATCGCGAGCAGGGAGAGGTTCTCTTCTACGAACGACCGACATGCTGATCTTTGCTCTTCTTCCATCGTCTCCCCAACTGGCTCGACGCTACAGCTCTACCGCTTCCTGGCCCGCCGCACTGACTCGAAGTTCAACAAGGTTGTCCTCCGACGCCTCTTTATGTCGAAGATCAACCAGCCCCCGGTCTCGGTTTCGCGCGCCATCTACCTTGCTGGCAACCGCGGCGGTGTCGCCAAGAAGGAGGGCGAGACGCCCAAGACGATTGTCGTCGTCGGTGCCATCACTGACGACAACCGGGTCCTCGAGCTGCCCAAGCTCAGCATCGCCGCGCTGCGATTCACCAACACTGCGCGCGCCCGCATCGAGGCGGCCGGCGGCGAGTGCCTGACGCTCGACCAGCTTGCCCAGCGTGCTCCTACCGGCTCGAACGTCATCCTGCTCCGCGGCCCCAAGAACTCGCGCGAGGCCGTCAAGCACTTCGGCTTCGGCCCGCACAAGAACAAGAAGCCCTACGTCCGCTCCAAGGGCAGGAAGTTCGAGAAGGCCCGTGGTCGCCGTGCCTCGCGTGGCTTCAAGGTGTAAAGCAGCCCCCAACCACCCAAAAAGGGAGCAGACCTGGCCTTTTTCCCCCCCGCTTCCGTCGATCTCTCCCCCCCCCTTGTTCTTTTGCTTCACCCTCGAATCTCACACGCACACACACACGCTCGATACAACCCATCCACGCACGCGCGCTTCTCTCACACGCCCGTCAACCCCCCCATTCCATCGCTCGTTGCGCCCCTCGCGGCGCTACGTCGAGTCGAGGACGAGGAGCGAACCTCTGCGCTGCAGGGACCCAGGAGGGAGGAAGGCGTGCCGGGGAAGCGTCAGCCGCTCTCCCTCGCCTTTTCTCCCGACGCTGTACCTGGAACCTCTCGCAACGTGGAGCTCCACCTCGTCCAGGTCATACAACCCTATGCCAAACCATCCTCCTCCGGGCGGCGCGAACGTCGAAAGGGGCGAGGCGAGTTTCCTCCCTCCGCCGTCTCCCTCTCTTCCACCTCGCTCGCCCATCTCAAGCCCCACCACACGCACACACACATCACAGCACACCAACTCTCTCTGTACTTTTTGGCCCCAAAATGACATGCATCTCCCCGTTGACCTGCCTGCCTGCCTGCCTGTCTGCCTGCCTGATGGACGACCAATCGGGGAAAGAGATGGGCTCGTGCGTGGAGAGACGCCGTTGAGGTCGGCTGGCTAGCCTACCTTCCGCTGGGGCTCTGTGGATGTCGCTGTTGCGCGATCACTCTGCTGCTGATGGAGGCGGACCTTCCTTTCTCGTGGACCACTGCGGCTGGCGTGGCCGCTGCCGGGCGGGTGCCCTGTTCGTGTTGCTGTTGCTGTTGTTGTCGGTGTCGTTGTTGTTGTTACATGCGTGACGGGAACTGGGGGCTTGATTGGTGGACACTTGCTGTGGATGCTTTTGAGTTGCGAGTCGTTGGATGATTCGGATCGGGTCGTGGGCGTCTACGAGTAAGAGCGCGGCTGCGTGCGTTAAGGAAGGCCGGCGGAAGTGCACGGCGCGGACCGAGGACGTCGCGGCGTCGTGAGGGTATGCTGCTTGAGCGTCTGCCTGGCCATCGAGATGGCCGGCGCGCTGGCTGTTGGGAGGATACGCGGGGCGAGTGTTCGCTCATCAGTGGCGCGGCGTCGTGGCGTCTTGCATCTCGGCCTCGTGGTGGTGGAAGGCCTCTTCCTGTCCCTCGTCGCTGGCCAGAAAGGGATGCTCGAGGAGCGCCGCTGCCGTCCAGCGACGCGTGCAGTCGAGATGGAGACAGGCCCTGGCGAAGTCGAGCGCACGGGTGGCGTCGAGACGATATCGGTCCGGGTCCGGGTGCGATCCTGGATCCATGAATCCAGGGTTGAGCTGCAGGATAAAGTCGTTGATCCGCTTGCCGCCCTCGATTGTCGGAACGTTGCACTGGAAGGTGCGGTCTGAATGCGGTGCAGCAGGGCAGCGACGCAGGCATCGGTCGTCAGCGAATGCTTTCGCCGGACTGACCTGCAAGGAGCGGCACCGCGGGACTCACTGTGAAGCAAGGCGCACTGCTCCATCCGCTTCTTGCCAAAGATGGTCGCCAGCTCCAGCAGCGCCTCGGTGTCGTCGTTGGCATTGAAGACCGGGAAGCGCTTGCTAAGGAAGGCCACCAGAATGATGCCGGCGCTCCAGATATCGAGCGCTACCGAGCGAACAGGAGGGTTCACCGAGACCGCGTCAGCAGGCGTCGCCGAGGGCACCGGGCCAAGAGCGAGAGGAACAGGCGCAGCAGATTACACTCACCGGGCGTCTGGTCCTGGCACTTGAGCAGCACCTCCGGCGCTCGGAAGCCTCGGGTGCCAGCGCGATTGGCTCGTACGCCCGGTCTGAGCACGTCGGGACGTACAGAAACGTGGGACGAGTGAGCAGGGCGGGCCAAGGAGGGACCGCAGGAGAAATGAGTGCGCGCGTCTCACCTGGTGTCGTTCTTCAGGTAGCCGACCCTCTCCGGAGGTCCCATTGCCGCCTTTGACCTCGAGGACGCCGAGCCGCCAGCGAGCATGCCGCCAGGGCTGAAGTGGATCGACTGAACGTTGCGGTTGATCTCTGTCTTGCCATGCGGGTGCTCGAGCGTCGGCAACGTGTGGTGGCACTTTCCTCTCCACTCGTTGGGCTCGAACCTCTGCCGTCGCGCAGGCACTAAGCACCAGCAGGTCAGTCGCCTCCCCTCAATCTCCGGATCGCAGTTGGGGACGAGACAAGGGGCTTTTGCGGTACTCACCTCTGCCAAACCAAAGTCGCAGAGCGTGCCGTGGCCGGTGCGCGGGTCGTAGAGGAAGTTGGCCGGCTTGACGTCGCGGTGCATGACGTTGGCCTCGTGAACGGAGCGGAGCGCCGACATGAGGCAGCGGAAGTAGCACTTGAGGTCGACGAGCGGCATCACGCGGTAAAAGTCGCGAAAGTCGGTATGTCTGCTGTAGGGCATCACGGCCACCACCTGGTCGCGAGCGCGGAAGGCGGTGATGAGGTAGGCGACGTGTTCTGCGTCGCGCAGCTCCTCCATGATCTCGAGCTCGTTGACGATCCTCGAAGGGCTCGAGGTGACATAGATGCGCTTGAGAGCGACATATACCTTGGACCTCGTCCCGATTGCCGTCTCCTGCCGCAGCGCCCAGTGGTCGTTGTCGTAGTACGCGTGCTGGAGGTCGACGGCCTTGTAGACGGACGAGAAGGTGCCTGGCAGTCGAGTGGCCGGTCGAGGTGCATAGATGGCGTCAATCATTTCAGCACTGCCCGTCTGCCCCTTCTGGCGGGCCGCCAAGCAAGACGGCAGGCTCTGGCTCACCTTCGCCCAGCTTGTCGACGATCTTGTAGTGCGCGTCTAGGCCCTCGATCGACGTCTCCATCTCGCGGATCTCCCACTCGAGCCGTTCGAGCTCCTGGAAATGTCGGGGGTGAAGCGGTGCGAGACTTGGCGTCGGCCTTTGACCTCTGGCGTGTGTTTGGGACACGTCTAGCGCTCGAGCGAGGCACCGGTACTCACCTCTTCATCGCGGGTGTCCATCTCGCTGCTTGGCTCGCTGGCCTCTTCGTTGTGAGCATCAAACTCGACCGCCACGAGTGAGGCATACTGACCGTCCAGACCATCTGCGTGGCTGTGCGACGCAGCCCATTGCTGGGAGCGTTGGTCCGACTCCCAGACGGCCGGTGCGAAGGGGCCCTGCTGCATGATGGCGGTGTCCATGCTGCTGGGCGCGGGTCTGGACGCAGTTGAGGGATACTTCCGTCGTCGTACAGACAAGAGCAGGCTCGGAACGGAGCTCTGCAGAGGTGAGCCGATCGGTCTCACTACCTGATATGCACCTTGCGCCGGCTCCACCGCCTTGCACTCGTCTGCTATGCCGAGCGGATCGGCCCGCTACCTGTGTATGCACTGCTGATGACGAGGTCGACTGGGCCTGGTTCGGTGGCCGTGATCAAGGTCTCCCTGGTGGGCAGCAGAGGATGATCGTCTGATGAGATGCCGAGAAAGGTGTGCTAGGTGATGCGGAGGAGCCGATGGTGAAAGGTGATCGGTGGGAAGCGGTCGAGGGGCGTGGCGAGGCGCGGCCGCCTTGTGACGAGGCAGGTGAACGATGCGGTCCGCCCGCGTTGCTCCAATCCCCAAGCTTGTTCCTCTTGCGCCGTTGTCACGACGGACGTGTAGCTGGCCGTTTGATGACAGTCGAGGGGGATGGTCGGGACGCAGCCGGGCAGGGCGATGAGGGAATGTCGAAGAGTGTCGGAAGAAGCCGAGGCCGAGTTGGTTGTTGGAGGGTGGTTGGGTCTGCCCTTGCCGCTAAGCTGTCTGCCTGCCTCTAGCTCTGCTCACGCGGCGCTGCGGACCCTGGAGGCGTGTTGCTCCACATTTTTCGACGGCTTTTTCTCGCGGGTTTCAGAGGGCAAGGCTGCGATGCAAGCAAGAGCCAGCCAGGCTGCCCACCAACCAGGAAGTCACCCTCCTTCTCGCCCACCCTTGCATGGCGACTCAATCTGCGTCTACCTCGTCTCAATCTTCTGTCTGCCTCATACAGATCAAGCTGCATCGCATCGGCCTCGCACCATCTTCTTACCCTGCGGTAGCCTCGAGACCATGGCAAAGCCTCCCTCCCCAGGAGACGACGTGAGCAGGCTACGATTGAAAAGCGGGCTCGCGGCAGCCCAGGCGGGCTAACCGCAACCGTCTCTCCCTCGCACAGGCTACGCCGTTCCTGTTGAGATGTTACGCCAAGCCCGGGCCCTTCCGGTGAGCCAGAACTGCGCATCAGCTCCGTCGCGACCTATCGGGATGTCCGCACTCACACATCTCCACGTCCACTCCTGACGCGCGACGTCCGCCCGTCTCTGCCCCTAGCCCGGTGCAAGACTTTGAATCAGGATCAAGAGCGCAGCAAGACGAGTACAAGCTATACGTCTGGTACGGCAAGGCGCTCTCCCGCCCGAACGCATGCCCTCAGCTGGGCAATCTGCCGAGTCGTATCGCTGACTCCACCCTCACACCGCTGACCCTGCCTACCTGCTCGCAGGAAGACGACGACGCTGCGCGAGGTGGCGCAGATGCTGCACGAGGCCAACCCGTCGCTTTCACAGCCACTATCGCTGCACGCCTTCCGGCTGATCCACGTCTACCGGGACCGATCGAGGTGCAGCGCCCGTAGCGTCGGTGGAGGTGTCACGCGCGTCCCTCTGCGGGATATGGAGGATCTGATGGACGGCATCGAGCTCGACACGGCCACCAAGCGCGCCATCGAGAGCCTCCGGGAGGAGTCGGACGAATCGGTGGCAAAGAGGACGCTGCACCAGCTCGCGGTCCAGGACGGCGACCTCCTCGACTGCACCGTCAAGGCAGACCCAACGATACCCACCGCGCCCGCGGCTCCGAGGCTTGGTCCGGGAGGACATGGACCAGGCAGATCGCGGCGGTCTTAGGCGATGCATGTGCGCGATCGCAGCCGGGACTTTCTCAACGCAGACAAGCCATCGAGCGCAACACAAAGCACACAGCGGTCTCTCCGAACCGCACGCGTGCCAACCAACTTCCAATCAAGCACACAAAGGGGTCCTGTGTCTGATCCACCGTCCGCATCGTGTCATTCAAGATGCTGGAAAAGAGGTTCGAGCGTATGAGGGCGGCGACGGCGTGACGAGGACAGAAAACAGCGTTGGGAAGATCCCTTTTGAGGCGCAATCGTGATTCCACGAGTCTGGACGCTTTCACCGGCGAGGAGCAAGACGGCCTGCGAGGTCACGGTGACGAGGATGCAACGAGTGGAGACGAAGAATTGTCAGAGTCTGAGGTCGACTAGATTGGAGATGCGCGAGGTTTCGCGTCCAAGAACCCCGCCCCACGAGCCCGACTCCAGCGCCCTGCCTGTCCGTCCTCCATTCCTAACCGCCTCTCTGTGCCGCGACTGGCGCTAATCAGACGTATTATAATGATTCCGGATAGGAGGTTGTCTACCCTGTAGCCCAAAGCGCAAGCGCCAAGGCCACGTTCCGTTGAGGGAGTCCTGTGGTTCATCGTAGAGAGGCCGCACCTGCGCCTCCGTCCGTCGGTCGTCCATCCTGCCCTGCAACAATGCCCTGTATCCGCTGCCGTCCCACAGATCGAGACACTCACGTCTTGTCGACGCCGCCTAGATCAGGAGCGGCGCAACGCGCTTCGAGAACACCGACTTAACGGCTCTTGAAGTACTCGAGGAGGACGTTGAGGCCCTCGGACTCCTCGCCGTAGTCGCGGACGACGACGCACGAGCAGCCAACGACCTTCCTGGGGTTGCCCTCGCGGTCGATCTTGCAGAGACCGGCCCAGGTGCCGAGGGTCTTGGGGTCCGAGACCTTGAGCAGGTCGATCTTGTGCTCGGTGCAGAGAGCCTCGATGAGCTTGAGGTACTCGGCCTCGTTGCAAGTCTCGACGAGGACGCAGAGGTGGGCCTGGCGGCGGTCGAGGGCCTTGGCGCACTCGCGGAGACCGCGGGCGAGGCCGTCGTGGATGAGCGACTTCTTGAGGACCTCCTGGAGGGCGTCCTCGATGCTCATGGCGCCCTTGGCGGGGGCGGCGGTCTCGGCGACCTCGACCTGCTCGACGTCCTGGGGAACCTCCTCGACGTCAGACATGATTGGCGATTGGCTTGGCGGTGGTGGTGATGAAAAGAAAGAAGGGTAGGCTTCTTCGAAAGGAGTCGCAAAGATGGGGGCGATTCCAACTCAGCACGGGGATGGGCGATGGTAACGGTGTGATGGTGTAGGCGGGGGTGAGAGGGTGGAGCGGCAGCCATCCCGAGCACCACCGGGAACCAGCCTGCTGTCCTTCCCGCTGGCCCAGGGCAACCCGACAGGCGGTTCCGACAACCTCGGCCGACGCAGCCAGCGGCACGTGCGAAGAGGTCGCCAGGATTGGCAATTCAAAATTTGAAGTGGCCCAATTCGAGCTGGCGACCGACTGTGAAATTCCAAGCTGGCGATCCGAGCCTGGGTCCGACTTCGAATTTTTCGCAGAGCAGCGGCCGGCGTGGGCCAGCGGCAGGCAGCGAGGGCCCTTGGCCAACGAGAGGCAGGCTGGGAGATCGGCGCCGGCCAGCCAGGCAGCCAGGCTCACCGCCCGTGCCGCCGCTCGCTCGCCCGCCCGCCGCCGCCGCCGTGGTGTGTTGGAAGCCATCGTCCGGTCCAGGTCCCTACCTCTCCCGTCCGTCCTCAAGAATATCGACAACCCCCCACCCTACGCCACGTCGCCACCAACTCCACATCACCCCCCTCATCACATCGACCGACCATGTCGCAGAACATCGAGCTTGGTGTCCAGACGGAGAAGGCGTTCCAGAAGCAGCCCATCTTCTACAACTCGAAGGCTGCCAGGAAGACCACCCGTGACCGCCGCTGGTACAAGGATGTCGGTCTTGGCTTCAAGACCCCCCGTGCCGCCATCGAGGGCACCTACATCGGTAAGTTATCGCCCAAATTGCCACCCGGCACGGCACCGACGAACTGCTGCTTTCGACGACCATCGCCAGCCCCGACCATCGTCGCCTGCCACGACTTGCCAGCCGCACGCCTCGACCCGCGGACCGCCAGCCGACCATCACCGCCTGCCGTCAGGCCGGACCGCCAGGAGCACAGATGCATGCAGCACGGAGAGGGAGCACGCCTTGCCTCTGAACCTCGGGCGAGGGTGCGGAAAGGAAGTCGGATCGGCGACAGGACGGTGGAAACGACTGGTTGGAGGCGCAAGCGGAGGTTTCCTTGCGGAAGGGACTGGGCATTTGGCGTCAAAGAGGTGACATTGGAGGACGGACTTGGCCGGTCAGCGTGCGCATCCGGCCGTCTTGACGGCACTCGGACGCATCAGGGCTGGAACAGGATCTCGGCCTCGAAGGCACCTGTGGCCTCTTCGTCGCCGGGCGTTCAGCGCAACACCTGGGCCGAGCGGGAAGGATTGGCTCCCTGAGATGATAGGCGCCATCGCAGGAGGGTGGGAAGGATGGGACTGGTGCCGAAAGAGATGGGGCACGAGGGACTTTGATCGACCTCTCCGCTGCATGCTGTTGCTGCTTGCTGCTCGACGAAGCGGAAAGGGGCGTCGATGCTCGCGGCTGGCTGTCGCGGTCCGGCGCTTCGGCTTGGCTTGTCGAAACCAGCCTCGGTTTCGAGATCGACCGGGTGAGCTGACCATCCTTGATCTGCATCCCGCCTTCCCTCTGCCAACTATCCGCCGCCGGGCAACCCGAAACAGACAAGAAGTGCCCCTGGACCGGCCTCGTCTCGATCCGCGGCCGTATCCTGACCGGCCGCGTCGTCTCGACCAAGATGACCCGCACCCTCATCATCCGCCGCGAGTACCTCCACTACGTCCCCAAGTACCAGCGATACGAGAAGAGGCACAAGAACCTCGCCGCCCACGTCTCGCCCGCCTTCCGTGTCGAGGTCGGCGACACCGTCACCGTCGGCCAGTGCCGCCCCCTCTCCAAGACCGTCCGCTTCAACGTGCTCAAGGTCTCGAAGAACAAGAGCGCCGAAAAAGCGGCAAAGCAGTTCGGAAAGTTCTAAAGGGGGACGACGACGGCCCGACCCCGTTCTGTTGCTCGCTCGCTCGCTCGCTGGCAGTCGCACGCGACGGCGGCCCCGTGATGGAGATGCAGCAGCAATGGCACACGAACGGCTCCTTGATTCGCAATGCCCGATCCGGTTCGCGCCCGCCGCCGCCACCGCCATCGTCCCGAGAGTGTGAAGGGAGCTGGGACGGCGAGTCGGCGAGGCGATGAGATCGAGTCCCGGGATGCAGGACGGGACGGCGGTGACGGACGAGGGGGAGGAGGACGATGAGGGATCTGCCTTGGCGGAGAGAGGCCGGGCACACGACGATGAAAAAGGTTCCGAGAGCGGCCTGCCCTTCATGGCGCTCGAGGACCAAAGGAGGCTCGGGCTGGTGCCGGGAGCAACTCGGCGGTCAGCGGACGGGGACGTTGGCATCACTCGCTCCCAGTTCCCGAGTACCGCTGGTTTGCGACCCGACATCGTCTCCGGACCCCAGCACACGCCCCTATACACACATACGCACACGCACCTCGCTGCGTACCAGCGAAACACGAAAAATCCACCGGCCACCGCCGTCGTCTCGTTTGCATGGTCGGTCGACCTCGCACTTGTTTGATCAAGACCCGTGGGAAAGGAGAGGGGTCGACCCGACATCCCCGCATCGAACGAGGCAGCGGACATGGTGGCTTTCCCACCCCTACCAAACCCCCTCCATTTTCCCCAAACCATGTACTTTTCTCCCAACACCCTCTCCACGCCTTCTCTCCTTTCCTCAAATCGATGCATATGCTCCCGTGACCTTGTCTGGTTGTTCGACGACCTTGTGATGCTCGTGGTGGAGGCGAGCGAGTCCTGCGAATGGCTCAATTGCATGAAGGGTGACGCCTGGGACGAGGCTTGACGACAGCGGAGCGCCAAGCGGCGGAAATGCGGTAGGGTTCTGCGTGCTTCCCGAAGCCTAACAGGTACTCCAAGGACACCTTCAGATGGACCGACAGGAGCTGAGGGATTCTTCTGTCATCTGCCACATGCTGGTGCCATGGGCAGATTGTCGACGATGGTGACGAGAAGGCGAGGGGCCAGGCAAAGGTTGCAACTGTATCGGACGAGAAGACTGACACTGGTCGATCACCAGCACCGCCTCGCGCCAGGCGCCAGGGCCCCGGGGGCTGCCCGCTGGCCTCACGCAGCCAGGCTCGACGCACAGAGCACCCCGCCGCCGCCGCCGCCGCCGCTGCTGTTGGCTGCGCCCAAAGCGAGCATCGCGCGAAGCTCTGGGCCAGGCCCTTACCATCGGAACAACACACACACTACCCTCCACGCTCCATCGACCCGCTTCGGCACCTCCTCGTCAGTCTGGCCACTACCACCGATCAAAGCTCCGCGCTACGACCTTGACGAACGACCAAGAAACACCGCCTCACCGCCACAGACGACTTGCCGCCAGCTGACAGCTCGACCGATAGGCAGCACCTCCACCACACGTCGCCGGACAGCACCGACCGCACCTCGCCACTCCCATCCCCGAACCTACCATGTCCTTCGACTTCGGCTCGCCCAAGGAGGCCGATCCTACCGCCGACTTCCTCGCGCGCGAGCGAGAAGCCGCCGGCGTCCTCTCGGGCGACGCCGACCTGTTTGGCGGTGCCGGTGCATCCGCCGCCGCTCCGGCCGCAGCGACGACGGCCCACGACGACTTTGAGCGTTCCGCCTCGGCCTTTCCTGCCCTCGACGACGACGGCGTCCCGGCGCCCGCCGCCAACACCAGCAACAATGCAGGAGGAGGCGGCGGTGGCTTTGGATTCGACGACGACGATGATGAGCCCATCCAGTCTTCCAGCCTTCCCGCCGTCAATGTCAACGGCGGAGAGCCGGATGAGAGGCAGCAGTTCGAGTCGAGCTTCCCCGAGCTAAAGGACGAGGTCAACGACGGTTACGACAGCGGCGCTGTGAGTCCGTGAGCGCGACGTAGGCAGGCAGGCCGGCAGTGTGGAAGGATGTGACGCTAAACGACGATCTCTGCCTCGTCCCTCTTGCATCCCAGAACGGCTTCATGGCACCGCCTGCTGCTGCGCCCGTCCGATCCTCGAGCCAACAAGCCTCCTACACGCCCGCCGCGTACGACGAAGACGACGAGGAGCCCGAGCCTGTCCGGTACGTGCCCCTACACTTGCCGTCGACCAGGTCTGACGGATACCGAGCAGCGTTCTTCTTCTGCATCCCAGCCAAGAACACCCTCACTGACTTCCCCCCTTCGGCTCACTTCTATCTGATCTGTGCATTCAGGCTGTGGAGGGAGAAGCAGCAGGACGACATCGCGCGCCGGGACGCCGAGGCGGAGCGCAAGAAGGGCGAGGCCATCTCCAAGGCCGAGCGCGACATTGACAACTTCTACGCCGAATACAACAGCAAGAAGGAGAAGAACATTGCCAAGAACAAGTGCGTGTCCGACCCTCGAGCGCCCATCTGTCCCCCTGTGCGCCTGTCCTCGATCCTTTCTCGCGCGTGCTGACCCTTGACTCCGATGCCCCTTCTTCACTTCCCACACCATCGCGTGCGCACCCAACCCTTGCGACTGCACTCGCCCGCTCTGCAGGGAGGCCGAGGCCAAGTTCCAGGAGGAGCGAAGCCGCGACCTGGCAGAGGGGACCACGTGGGCGCGCGTCAACAAGGTCCTCGACCTGCAAAACAGCCAGTCCAAGACCATCGCCCGCATCGCCCCCGGCGCCACGGACCTGTCGAGGATGAAGGAAATCTACCTCAGCCTCAGGAGAGAAGGCGAGACCGCACCCGGCGCTTCCGGGTACTAGGCTGTCTCCTTCTCGCTCTCTCGCCCCCTCGCCCTCGCCGTGGTGCTGGGCGGCGGTCTCGGTCGATTTGGACCCCAACCCTCTTCTCTCTCTCTAGAACGAAGGGCGGGAGAGAAACAGCGCTCGTTCTGAACACTTGCCCATCCTCCATGCACTCTCACGACGATCCATTGCACGCGCGCTCGCCGCGGGAAACAGGGGAGCGCATGCGGGGTATACATATCGCCGCGACGACATTGCTTGGCACAGGAGACGGGAGGGGCGAGCAGTATCGTCGCAGCGTCATCGTACATCGACGGGCGGCTCGATGAGCGGGACCATGCCCCACGCGAACCGCTCGCTCTTGAAGCTCTCGAGCACCGCATCCGTCAGGTCCTCGATCTTGGGTGCGAACACAGCGTACGGATCCTGTTCCACCTTGGCCGTCGACGCCGCCCCCGCTGCGCCGAATGCAGAGGTAGGTGCCGTAGTTGCCGCTGCGCCGCCGCCGCCGAAACCGCCGGCGCTGCCGCCAAACGCGCTCGTCGTCCCCGTCCCGAATACGCTCGTACTCCCGAACGCGGACGTCGTCGCTGGCGCGGCTGGTGCGGATCCGAAGGCGGAGGGCGCGCCGAATGCACTCGTCTGCCCCTGCCCGGTAGCACCGAAGGCCGAGGGGGCACCAAATGCGCTCGGCGCCGCGGTAGACCCAAACGCTGAGCCGCCCGTCGTTGCTGCTGGCGTGGTCGTGGCGGCGCCGGCGGTGGTGGAGGAGCCAAAGGCCGAAGCCTGGCCGAACGCACTCGTCCCCCCGCCGAATGCAGAGGCCTGCGAAGGTGCGCCAAAGGCAGACGCCTGTCCGAACGCACTCGGCGTCGCCGTCGAGCCGAACGCCGATGGCGTCGCTGCCGTGCTCGACGGGGCAAGGGCTCCAAACGCCGATGGCGGCTTCGACGATCCAAACGCGGACGGGGCGCCAAATGCCGAAGCGGTCGGAGCCGTCGTCGACGCGCCAAAGGCCGACGGCGTACCGAAGGCGCTGGGCGCCGCCGTAGAGCCAAAAGCGCTCGTTGTGCTTGTGGCCGTCGTCGCCGGTTTGGCGCCGAATGCCGAGGGTGCGCCAAAGGCACTCGGTGTCGACGTCGACCCGAACGCGCTGGGTGTCGCTGCGGCGGAGGCACCCCCGAATGCGCTTCCCTGGTTGGCTGCCCGGGTCCGATTGTACTCTGTGCGGTTTCGCTGGGCCTGCTGGCAGGCCTGGTTGGTGTTTGCGAAGAGAGGGCGAAAGGCGGCTTCGGCCTGCTGTACCAATGTCTGCTCGTGCTGCGACTGCAGGACGGCAATGGTAATACCAAAACGGCTCGAGGTCAACTCGTCGTGCGCGTGATCAGCAGCGGGGGCGGCCTCGCATCGGTTTGCTCTGGGGTCAACTCACATAGGCAGCCTCCTGTCCCTGAGCTCTAGCCGTGTAGGCCATGAGCCTCAGCTCCTCCTGACTGAGGTCCTGGCCGCCGACGAGGTTCGGTTCGCCTCTGGCCGGCCCGTAGACGGTGAGCTTCCAAAGCGGTCTGCCATGCGGCCCAAGGTCCTCTGCAATCCCCTGCGGCATGAGCGTGACCTGAGGATCGTTGGGGTCGGCCATCTTGCCCTGCGCTGATGCGCTCGGGCCCGCTGCTCGGCCACCGAAGGCGCTGCTCCCCGCGGCGACGGGTGTGGATCCGAAAGCTGAAGGAGCAGTGGCTCCAAAGGCGCTAGTGGGCGCCGAGGTGCTGCCAAAGGCAGAGGGCGCTCCGAACGCCGATGCGCCGCCGCCTGGCTTTGCTCCAAAGGCGCTTGGTGCTCCAAAGGCCGATCCGGTCGTCGCTGTCCCGCCTCCTCCAAAGGAAGAGGGGGCTGCGGTGCTGCCGCCAAAGGCCGAAGGGGCACCGGTGCTGCTGCCAAAGGCTGAAGGCGCCCCCGCACCGCCTGCTACGCTGCCAAAGGCGGATCCTCCGGGCCGCGGGGCCGAGCCAAACGCAGAGGTGCTTCCGAAGGCGGACGGCGCGGCGGACGCTCCAAAGGCGGAGGGAGCGCCGAATGCCGAGGGGCGGTTTGCGCCGCCGCCGCCGCCAAAGGCAGACGGGCCCGATGTGCTCCCGAACGCGGAGGGTGAGGCAGCGAACGAGGATTGGCCAAATGTCGCGGCTGCAGACGAAGGAGTAAGGGACGGGCGGTTAGGCTCCATGTCAGTCAGCCATTGCAGCAACTCAGAGGTATGAGACGATGCCCGGTCCAGGCCGGCTGCTCACATCGATTGCCCTGAGGATGCTCAAACTTGCAGTTGTTGCCGTAGGCGCACCGGCCCTGCTGGAAGAACTTGCAGACGACCATGGTGTCGAGACGGCGGGATGGGAATGGCCCTCGGGCGGCGTTAGGGCGATGGCTAGTGCCCCGGTGTCTGGAATTAGCGCGATGCGAGGAAAGGAGGGTGGTGGTGGTGGTGGTGGTAGTAATGGTGGTGTTCGGCCAAGGACCGGGCGGCCAAAAAGACGGCGGCATGCAGGAGCCGATCACGTCTGCGGGTCGTTGGATCCAAAGACGGTGCGAGAGGCTGAGCCCTCCACTCCTCCTTCTCTTCGTCGTTGCTCCCTTCTTCCAACGACCCCGCCACCATCCCACCATAGAGGCCAATCCTGCACAACAGCGCAATGGTAAGCTACATGCCCCCCTCCGTCCGCCGCGCCGCAGCCAAACACACAGCTGACCTGCTCCACGTCGGACACCTCCTCCCCATCGGAACCCTCCAGTCGCTGCAATACCTCGCCGACCTCGAGACGACGCCAGACGCCTCGCACTCCACGCCCGTCCTCTCCGTCTGCTGGACGCAGCGCGCCATCCTCTCGGCGGACCTCTCGGGTGCGCTCAAGGCGTGGGACCCCACCACCCTCCTCGCGGCCTGCACGCTGCCCCAGCCCCACTCCAACTCCGTCCACGCCCTCTCGACCGACCGCGACACGCGATACGTCCTCTCGTCGTCGATTGACGGCAGCGTCGCCCTTTGGGATACCGGGCTTCTACCCCGTACTGCATCGGCAGAGGCAGGGACGGAGGAGGGAGATGCAGCACCGCAGGGCGACGAGACGATAGGCGACCAGGTCGAACACGATGCCGCCTCGTCGCGCCAGGGCCCGTTGGTCGCAGCGGCGCCAGAAGAGGTGGTGGTGTGCCGCACTGACACGATAGCCTCGTCGAGCGACGGCGTATCCGAGGCCTGGTCGACCGCTCTCCACCCTACTCTGCCCGTCTTCGCCTCGGTCGGGATAGGCGCCCGACCAAGCCTCCACTCCGCATCGCGCGACGACTTCGGAAGCCTCGTCGCCATCTCGCCACCGCACACGGCGGCGGCAGCCGCCCCTGACTCGTCGTCCCTCTTCGGCACCAAGCTGGCACTGCACGCCGAAGGGTCGCTCCTGGCCGTGGGGACGTCGACGGGCCAGGTCTTCCTCTACGCCCTCGGCCAGGGCGAGGACGGAGAAGGGTGGAGCCTCGACCTGCTCACGACGTACGCCGACCATGCGCTGCCGGTGCGCGCGCTCCACTTTGACGCAAAGGACCACCTGGTCGTCGGATGCGACGATCTCGTCGTCACCCTCCACGACGTGCGCGCTCAGAGGCGTGGTGGGGGAGATGCACCGAGCGCGACGAGGTTGGGCGGCACGGTCGCCGCGCTCCAGGGCCACCGTGGCTGGATCATGGACGTCAAATCCTGCCCTACCGCCCAAGGCAGGATCGTAGCCACCTCGTAAGCTTTCGCCCGCCGCTCGCTAGACAGCCCGATTCGGATCTACCACTCACCTGGACCCGACCCCCTCTCCCCCTCCGCCTCCTCGTTTCAATCACCACAGATCGACCGATCGAACCATCAAGCTATGGGACCTGGCCGTAACGCCCAAATCGTGCGTCTGCACGTGCACCGAGCTCGACGAGGTATGGTGCATCGACTGGAGACCCACGCCGCCCCTCCGAGGCGGGCAAGAGGAACGAGGGGGCGACAGGTCAGTCTGGACGGCCACCACCGCCTCGACCTCGACCGGAGGCCTCGGTCAGGGATCCAAGTTCGTCACGGGCGGCCACGACGGACGGGTGCGGATGTACCGCAGCGCCGGCGTCTGAGGCGCGCACGGGATCGCGAGAGAAAAGGATGAAGGTGTGCTATGCGATGCGATACGGTGCGGTGCGTTTGCGAAACGAGTCCTGACAGACGATTACAACGATGCGATGATGTCGACGACGGCGACGACGGCGGCGACCATGCTACCAGCTCCCATCCTCCGAGACGCGCTCAGTGTCCTCGATCCCGACCGACGACGGCGGCGCCGCCTGCGCAGGCGGGGGCGGGGGCGGGGGCGGGGGCGATGCGGCGAGCTTGAGGCCCAGCGCGCCTCCCTCCTGAGGTCCTTGGTCCTTTCCATCGGTCTCTTCCTCCACCCCGCCCTCGCCCTCGTCATCGGACCAGTCATCGGGAAACATTTCCCTGGTCTCACGATTCCTCCTCATCCGACCCGTGGCGTAGTCGAAGCAGCGAAAGTACTCGCCCAGGCCTCTGAGCCGCAGCAGCGTACGGATGTCGGCCGCATCTCGATCTCGCTCGGCGTGGTCCTGCTGCCTTTCCGATCCATGACCAACCTGCGAGGACCGTCGGGAGGGGGGCAGGGGGAGCGGCACGACGTTGACTTCGGCCACGTACCTCCTCGTCCCATCTGCCACCTGGCTGTGGTAGAAGGGCTGGTGGCGCCCTCCCCGCTTGTCCCGCTTCATCCGCGTGCTCTTGAACCCACCGCGCACGGGGGGCGATGTGGGCGATGCGACCCATTCGTCGTCGACGGCCGCCGCTGCCGCGTCGGTGCCGCCAATGTTGTCGCGCTGCGGTCGTGCAGCGCCGGGCTCGATCGTCGAAGGCGGGGGCAGCTGGTCGACGCCCATGTTCTGGATCCACTCCTCGGGCGCAGCGCAGCGCGAATCCCAGCCCAGCGTGCAGGCCAGGTAGCCGTAGGTGCGATGCCGAAACAGAGTGCCGACGCGGTACGTCACTGGATCCTCCTGCTCGTCCTCTCCCGCTCCCTGGCCCGCGGATGGCTCCCCGTCTCCGGCATGCGCGTCGGTCGGAGTCGCTTCGGTAGCGGACCCGCTCGCCTGGCGTGCCTCCCTCGCCATCCTGGCCGCTCTTCCCGGTCGAGGGTTGACCTTGGGCTCCATGGCATCCTTGCTGCGCACCGTCTCCATCATGCTGCCGAGCAGGAAGCGCACGCCCGGGTTGCGCATGTAGGTCCTTCCGGCCAGCTTCGCCTGGGCCGACCGGTCGCCGCGCTCCTCGCGGCCCGAAAACGACCCTTCGAAGCTAGAGTCCGAGCCTGACTCGGAGTGGTTCTCGTCGCGGTCTTCAGCTCGGCGGCCAAAGGATGCGGCGGGAGGGCTTTCCGCGACGCCGAGGAAGTCGCGCTGGACCTGGCCCACATCGAGGGGAAAGTAGCTCTGGATCAGGCCCGCGATCCAGTCTGCGCCGCGGTCGCCCAGCTCGTCGGTCAGGCGCACGAATCCGTTGGCGGCGGCGTACATCGACGCCTGTTGATCGTGCTCCGACCACGCGGAGGCTCTATGCCGCTGCGAGGCTAGTCGGTGTGTCCAGTCGTCGTCGGCATGCCTGGCTTCGATCCACGCTGCGAAGCCGTTGGGACAGCCCTGCACGGCCGCGGAAGAAGCGCGGAACGTCGAGGACTCGGACCGGTAGCGCTGCAGCATCTTCCAGGCTGCAAAGTCTTCGGGCGGCGCCTTTGCTGCCGCTGCTGTTCCGCATCGCAGCTGGTAGACGCTGTCCTGCTCCTGCGTCGGCACCCAGCCATGCCGCAGCTTGAGAAAGAGTCGGTCCGGCCTTTCGCGCCCGTCGGCGAATCTGCCCGCCTGCGGGTGCGTCTCCCTCCTCGCCTCGGCGGCATCGGCCTGCGAGCCCGCGCCCTCCCCGGGCCTGGCCTGCCGCGGGAGGATCTGGGCACGTTGCACGCTGGCGACAATGTTCCTCGCCGCACGAACCACCATCTCTGTGGGCCGTGCAGGCAGGATAAAGTCGGCGCGGTGGGCCAGATGAAGCTGGTCGATCCACCTCTGCAGGTCGGCTTGGGTGAGGATCGGGGCAAATTGCGTTGCGGCGCCTGGACCGGATTGGGCCGGCCTGATCGTGTACTCGGCCACGTCCAGCCAGAAGCGCTTATCGTCCGGCGCATGGCTTGCCGAGGAGTAGTTGACGACGGCGAGGATCCGGGTGGGGAAGTTGCAGAGCGAGGCTCGCAGGCCGAGGCGGTTGGCGACGGCGCAGAAGATGACGGTCAAGCTCAGCGGAATCGTTTCGCGGTTGGTCTCGAGGCAATGGTGAAGGAAGTCTAGGGAGCAGGCAAAGAGGGTGGACAAGTGTGGGCGGACGTCAGCTCACCGAGCGCAGGGATCGTCTCTTGTCGTGCGAGCGGAGATGCTGCTCACGGTTGTCGAGATCCTGGAAGAGGCCAGTACGAGCGCCCCGAAAGCCATTGTCCCTTAGAAAGTCGCCGATGGCAAGCGCCATGGCCCTCGCCACTTCCTCTGAGCGGCTCTGTCCGTCATCTGCACGATGTCCTGCAGCGCTCGCCAGGTCCGGCCTGACGCTCTGCAGGTAAAGGTCGCAAGCCGCCGCAAGGACGTCGAGCTCCTGGCGCACCAGGTACAGCTCGCCTCCCCTGAACATCGCGAGGATCGAGATGGCCTTTTCTGTGGAATCGACAGGGAAGAGGCTGCCGTCGTCGTCGTCTTCGTCGTCCCGGATATCGCCGCCATCATCAGCGCGGTCAGAGTTCTGGTCTGTTGCCGTGGTCGACGCGCGCATCGCCTGCCGGTCGAGCTGCTTGAGCCTTCGCATGGCTTCGGCCCGCTGCAGGTGCTCCAGCATCTCGCGTGCCCTGTGAAGGATGACGAGGTGGTGAGAGTCGGACCTCATGGTCGTAGGCAGGTGGACATCATAGGCGCGAAGGCGGTACCGCGGCGTCGGCTCGTGCGGCCGCTGGTAAGGGACAGCCTTGCCCTTGTCCTTGCCAGCCAGGAGATCGTCTGAAGCCGGCAGACCGTGGTCGGTGCCGCTGGGTCCGCTGAGCTGTGCAGACACGACGGCACGGAGGACGTCCTTTGCGTCGTCGCCGAAGCGCAGGGCGAGCTGCTCGACGGCGGGGATGCGCGAATGAGTGGCCTCGACCTGGTGGTAGAGCAGATCGAGAACCTCTTGGTCGATGCGGATCCGCTCGAGGAAGAGGCGGTAGAAGTCTGGTTGGTCGCCGGCTGCGTCGTTGCGGGCCGCAAGACGAGGCGGAGAGAAGAATAAGAAAGTGCCGTCCGGGCTGTAATCGCTGCGGCTTGTCTGCGCCTGTACGGGATCTTGTCCGGCGAGTTGATTCGCTCGCCTAGCCCAGGCGTCGAGCTGTTGTGAGAGGTGCCTGAGCCTCCACTGGAGAGTGCGGCGCCTCCGCTCGCGATGGACGTCGCCGGTGGACCATCGGAGGAGGTAAGGCGTCTTCCAGAGCGAGGGGTGTGTTGCGATGCGGTGGAGGAGGCGGTTGGCCTGGGATGCGGCAGAGAGGGAGATGGGGTCGAGGTAGGCCAGGATCGAGGCAAAGATTTCCTGGGGCAGGTCGGGGGTCGAGGCCATGCTGATGGCGGCGGTACCAGCCGCGGGTCGAGGGGTTTAGAGTGTTGAGGCAGAGGACAATGCGGCGTGGACAGAGTCAGCGGGAGAGTCGGGACGGTGGCAGTGGTGGTATGGGTGATGGGAGGGCAATGTTGGGCTGGCCGGGTGGCTATGCGGCTCGACTGAGAAGAGAGGGCGATGGGATCGAGTTCGAGGTGCTGAGCATGGCTCGGCTCGGTCTCCTCGCAAGACGAGACGAGAAGGGCAAGAGCGGTGGGCGGTCCGGATGGAAACGAGGAGCAGGGAGGCGACTAGGATGCGAGATTGCTGTGCACGTGGGGCGACGGAGAGCGAGACAGAGAGCAGCGATGGGTCAGACACGACGAGACAGAAGGGCGGAGCAAGGGGGATACGACCAACGACGACGGCAGGGGTCCGATGGGTGGCGGGCAGTGAGGGTCCTGGACGACGATGGTGGTGGAAAAGTGGGGCCAGCCGGGGTGAGGCCCCGGCTTTCTTTCTTCCAGTCGGGGGGGCCACCCGAATAAGGCGTGGCTGCGGGCGTCTTTGGACGTGGTCGAGCCAGGTCGGCTTGCTTGCTTGGCTTGCGCCATCGACCATGCCGCCCCGCACCGGCAGAACGCCGAGGGCTGACGGAACGCTGCTGGTCGACGTCGGCACCAACGGCCTCCACCCACATCCTCGACAGAGAGCCCGCCTGTTCGCCTGCCCGCCTGCCCGCCTGCCCGCCTGCCCGCCTGCCCGCCTGCCCGCCTGCCCGCCCTCTCACCCTCAGCCGGCCGGGTCACCTCGCTCGCTGCCAAACGCCCAGCTCAATTCGCGGAACTCGGCCGTTGAACCAGCCGCTGCGAAGAATTTCACGCCGCCGCCATTTTTCTTGCAGGCCAACAAGCAAGGCAGCCAGCCAGCCAGCCAGCGGGCGGATCCACTGCTGCTCTCTTGCTCTGCCCTGCTCGTCCATCAGCCACCTCGATTGATCGACCACCAACCCGCTCTCACACACCAACCATGGACTCGGCAACATCACAACCGCAAGCAACGGCGCCGCTGGAAACGACTGCGCCCACCATGGCTGCAGCTGCCGACAACGCACCCGGTCCATCCGACCCGGCGAGGGCCCCTTCCTCGTCGTCCTCGACCCCGACCCCGCCCCCGCCGCGGCCGCGCATCGACACCCTCATCCTCGATGCGGGCGCCCTCATCTCACAGACACCCCTCGCAAACCTCGCCACTCACTACATCATGCCTCCCGCCGTCCTCGCGGAGCTCAAGGACGTCTCGGCGCGAAACTACCTCGCCTCGCTCCAGATGCGCAACGACTTTGACCTCGAGCTCGTACAGCCCTCGTCCGAGTCCATGGCCGCCGTCACCGACTTTGCGCGCAGGACCGGTGACCTCGCCGTCCTCTCCAAGCAGGACCTCGAGGTCCTCGCACTCACCTGGATGAAGGAGAACGACAAGTTCGGAGGCTGGAGGATCCGCAAAGAGGTCGGCGGAAAGACGGGCCAGCAGATGTACGACCTCGGACTCACCTCAGAGAAGCCGCCGCAGCTCGCCGACGGGGAGGGGAAAAAGAAGAAGAAGAAGGGATCCAAGAAGCCGAAACAGGCCAAGTTGGCACAAGAGGCGGCGGCAAAGGGAGACGAAGGCCAGGCCGACGACGACCAGTTTGAGGAGACGCCAGAGGCCCCCGTCGAGGCGGTCGAATCGTCCAAGGACGCGGACGCAGAGCTCGCACAGCAGCTCGACGCAAAGGCCACACTCGAGCAGAATTCGACCCAGGCGGCATCACAGCAGCCGACAGAATCCTCGCCCGGCGATGGCCGCTCCGCGCAGGCGGACGCCCACATCGACACGGCGCCGGCCAACGAGGAAGAGGTCGAGGTGGTCGAGGATGAGTTCGATGAAGACGACGGCGAGGGAGAGTGGATCACGCCGACCAACATCCAATACCACAAGAACGTCTCGCTCGGCCTCATCACGCACGAGACCAAGCCACCGGCGCCCGTCGACCCCTCGGCGCTGGCCGACGGCGACGAGGGCGCAGGGCCCTCGCAGGCCGAGCTGGAT